AGCGTCCCCCACTCCTGGTTTGCGGGGTCAGCGCTGCAGAGAGCCCTGCTCCGCTGTCTCTGTGTGGGAGGGGGCTTGACTGCTGCATTTTCAGGGGCAGGAGCACAGCAGTGACGTGAGCAGCTGCTGGCAGTGGCAGAGCTTGCACAGGGACTGCCTGAGCAGTGGTGCCAGCTGTGTCCAGGAGTGGGCATTGCTCCGGGAGTTCAGCCCACTCTCCATCCACCTGCTTCCTAGTGCAAGAGACAGCATGGCAGAGGGATGTAGCTGGGTCAGGAAGCCCACCAGGTTGTGGCCACCAGCAGTGTCCATCCTGAAGTCACTCTGTGTCACCTGTGGCTGGTGTGTGTCACCTCTGCTTGGTGTGTGTCACCCGTGGCTGGTGTGTACAACATCCAGCCTGACATGGTTACTGCAGCTGCTGGCAGTCACTGCCCCTGACTCACTTCAGGAGCCACATCCCTGCACATGATGCAATGCAGGTGAGGTGCTGTGGTGTCTCAGCAACCCCTGCTCCTGCCTGCTGCTGGACAGCACCACTGCCCCTGCCCAGGGAGGCTCTGGACAGGGGGAAGCAAGACCTCGGGGGCTGGGGTCTGGTAGGGGCATCATGCCTGCCTGATGCCTGCCCACCAGCCTGCCAGAGGGCTCCTTCAGAGCCAGAACCACTTTGCAAAGCTGAGAGGGAGCCATGGCCAGTGCCTGCTGGCAGTAGAAGTACTGGGAGGGCAGGCTGCAGGCAGGGCCCACAGCAGTTCCCACATTATCTGGCTGGAGGAGGAGGATGAGGAAGAGGAGGAGGAGGAGTGACCTTGGAGTGGAGCTGGCAGAGACCACACCTCTGCAGGCCCTGTGGGGGCTGCTGCCACTGCTAGGGCTCTGTCATGGCCTTGCTGTGGTCCTCCCTCAGCCTCAGCCAGCATACAGGGGCCCAACGTGGGAGTGAGTCCTGCACCCTATTCCCCAGACACCCCCATATCCCCCCATGCTAAGTGCCCATGTCCCACCAAGGGCCGTGTCCTGCTGCTGTAGAGGGGCCAGACCTGGTGGTCCTGGGCAGGCTGCTCTGTGCCCACATGGCTGTGCAGCCAGTGCCCAGTGGGCTCAGCCCATGCCCAGTGGGCTCTGCCAGCTCACACTGTTGGCCTGGGCTCGCAGCTGAGAGGGAGGCTGGGTGTTGGCGTTGCCGAGACCTTAAACATTCGCACCAGTGCTCAGCGCTAATTAATTATCCTCTTATGTACACCTTTATCTCTCTATCTGCAGCAGTGACGCAGCAGGGGCAGTCCGTGCCTCCCTGGCCACACTGGCCTCCTCGGGTTTATTTTTATTTCTTTTTCACCTGTATGTTTTGGCATGACTGTGGAAGAGCTGCCTTACCCAGTCTGTGACTGCCAGTGGCCCTATGCCCTGTCTGGGCACCCCCTGTCACAAGCACTCTTGAGTACCACCCTGGGTGCCCGGCACAACTCTCCCCAGTGTGAGTCCTTGGGGATGGAGCTTTGAGCTCAGCTTTTCCCTGTGGATAACACGTCCAGAGGCCTTGCTGCTCACATGACTGTGTTTCCTCCTGGACACAGGTCTATTCCTGCTTACATGTGTCCCCAGTTCATGCCCACCTGCTGTCTGTCTGTGTCAGCTGCTGTGTCCCATGCCCCTGCTGGCCTTAGGCTGGGGTCCTGCCTGCTGGGAGCCACTCGGCTCCTCAGCACCGGCAGCTCGGCCCAGGCCTGAGCTCGGTTTAAGGGGTTACCCCAGTTGTGCTGTTCTGGGCTCCCTGCCCACCTGCACAGGACTTGAGCACCATGGCAGGGCAATGACAGCAATTGGAGCATCCCCCTCCTCCGAACACCCCTTGCATGTCTGGACAGCAGCATCCTGGCTGTGCTGTATCTGGTGCTAGCCACACATGCCATATCTTTCATTGCTTTAATCTGTACTGTTCTACTGGCGAGGCCGTGCAGGGTTAGGGTCCTCACAGGACCCCAGCTAGACCTCAGCTTGGGTCCCTATGCCCATCCCACCTGTGGCCAGGCCATGCTGGTCTGCACTGGTGCCAAGCAGGGGGTGTGGTTGGGGTGGGAGGATCCCAAAATTCCCAGATTCAACAGCAGCCCTGCAGGTGCATAGGCAAGACTGGGAGCTGCAGCAGGCATGCTGGCACTGGTAACAGGTGAGTGGCATGGTGGTGACATGGCCACAGCTGAGTGGAATTTGGACCCACATGCCATGCCAGCCCTAGTACCCCACCTTGGGGTGAGTGTTCAGAAGAGGAGACCCATGGCCAGAGTGTTGGGGAACCCACCACCTGCCTGCTTGAGCACTGGACAGGTGGCACCAGCCCCCAGGAATGTGTGAGTGTACAAGGCTGGGGCAGCATTGGGGCAGTGTAGTTTGACAGCCCCCCAGGGTGGCAGTGGTCAGGGTTGGTGGTGCCCATGTGGTGCCTGGGTGCTGGCACATAGAGTGCTCAGTCTCCATCACCTAGCCCACTCCCACCAGGACTCTCACTGCTGGGATTTGAGGTGGGCTCAGAGAGCGTCAAAGCCTGTGTGGGCCCACTCAGTCCACAGGGAGCCCATGCAGTGATACCAGCTCACAAGTCACTGGCTGGTGACACATGGAGAGCTCTGAATTGCAGCCAATGACAGCTGGGCAAGCACGGCTCGTTCCTCAAACAGAGATAACAGCCTTCACTGGGATCCAGCCTGGGCTTTATTTACCCAGTTGCTCGACTGTGGCTTGGGGCTCCACCCCCGTCTCTCCTCACAAGGTGGCTCTGAGGGTCTTATCGATGTCTGGCGCAGTGGGGTGACCCACAATGGGGTGACCTCCTGCACCAGTGATCAGCTTTTGGCAGCACCTGTTTTGGGAGGAAGTGTTTCCATGACCCTATGGCACAGACAGGGGCCCCTACAGGTGTGTTCCCCAGTGCCCCTCGGGGCTGTGGTGTGTCCCCAGCCTGAGGCTGCACAGTGCCACAGCCTCCTCCTGCCTCGATTTTTAAACAGAGCGGCCTTGAGAGTAACCCTGGGGAAGTGAAGCCAGGAGCCAAGTCCAATTTCTGTGCTTAGACATCTGATTATTTGCCCGTTAAGCACTAATTGCCCCTCAGCCATGTGGCCAAGCCCCACACCATCCCTGGGGAACAAATAGTCCAGCAAAAAACCCAGGTCCCATGGGCACAGTGGGCACCTTCCCCCACCCTGGGCGCACCCCCTTCTAGGCTTCTGTACCTGCGCCCTTGTCAGTGCCAGTCGAGGTGGGGAAAGTGGTGACTTCCTCATGAGGCACAGTGGGGAGTTGCCTGGGCAGAGGCTGGGGATTCTTAGTAGCAGCTGCACCCTCCAGGGAGCAGTTTGATGGTGAAATACGGCCACACAAAGGCAGGGTGTCGCATATCCCGCTTGTGTGGCTTTGGGGTGACATCTTTCCTGCGCCCTTGCTGGGGGAACAGAACCATCATGATTCGTGTCCTGGCCGTTCCATCCTGTTTAAGACTCTCAACTGTGTTCAGGGTGCTGCCCCCTCAGCCCTGGTGTGCTGCAGGGCTGGGGATGCTCAGGACAGCCCCACAGTTGTGGGGTGCAGCGGGGCTGTCCCCGGTGTTGCCGTGCCCAGGCACGGGCGCACAGGGACGGGCAGGTGCCAGTGCGCTGCTGGTGCCGGTGTGGGCGGCGAGGGCTGCCAGGGACTGCTCGGGGTGCGTGGGCCGGAGCTGGGAGCCGGCTCCTGCTGTGACTCATTTGCCAGCCTGGCCCTGCTCCCCAGTGCAGCCCCACAGTCCTGCTCCCTGCCCACTGCGCCTTCGGGAACGCTGCGGGCGTGGCCATGCACGGCAAGGCGAGGGGCAGAGTAGTGCAGCTGTGCACCACACCCCCATCCAGCTGTGCAACCCCATCCAGTTGTGGCCCCATCCAGCTCTTGTGCCCAGCCTGAGTGGCAGGTACACTGAGGGGCACCTGTTCCACACTGCCACCAGCTTGTGAGGGAAAGACACTTGTACTGCGACAGGACCAGCAGTGTCACCATCAAAGCCAGGACCCCAGTGTGTCCCCAACAGCCCCCTGCCTTAGGATGTACCTAAGTGCTGGCCGCTCCTGTCACAGTTTCTGTCTCCAGCTCTGCACATGGTTTGTCACTATCACCTGGTCCAGGACTCAGCTTTGTGTAGGACCCTGTGTCCCCCAGGGAGGTCCACCTCCTGGCATGAAGACCCAGCCATGATGACACTGCCATGGCACAGTGGGTTGGTGAGGCTGGAGCTTGGGAGACTCATGCCTGTACCCAGGGAGTGGAGACTCCCTGGGGCTGACATGAACATGAGATGCCCCACGAAACTGCAAGCAAGGTTTGGGGTGCAGTTCAGTGCCAGGGAGGGCTTGCTCCCACTGCTTTCTCCAGAGAATGCCAAAGGGATGGGAGCCTAAGTGCTGGTACCAGCATTGTCACCTCACTGAGGCTTCGGGGGAGTTGGTTTGGGACTTCTGGTTTGACAGTCGCCACACAAGCATCTGTCTGTGCTGGTTGGATTTCGTATCCCCATGCAGGGCAGGTAGGGGCAGGAGATCCTGGTCACTGCCAGCTCTGCAGGGCTCAGAGTGTCCTGCAGCACTCCCACAGGGTGTCCCACGTGATGGTGTCACCCTGGGGCTAGGGACCCTTGGGGGAATATGGGCACTGCATGCTCATCACTGCATACTGCCTTGTGCAGGTCATGGAGTGAGAGGCTACCTCAAGTTGGAAGAGACCCATGAAGATTATCGAGTCCCACTCCTTGGTCATTAGGCTCTTGGCTCATTCCGGCTGGTGATGGCTTTGTGGAGGCAGAGGGTGCCGAGGGGCAGCTGTGATGGAGCCTGTCGATAGGCAAGAACTGCAGCAGGAGCAGCCATGGGCAGCCCGGGGCAGCTGGGTCCCATTCCAAGAGGCCATCAACAGACCTGGGAGCATGTTTGACCCCTCTCCTCTTGCTGAGATGTTTTGTCCTGTCCCCACAGCAGCATCGTGTCCCCGGAGCCTGGATTGTGCCCTACAGCGCCGAGAGTTCTGCCCACCAGGGTCGGGTGCCTGCGGGCCCTGCCTGCCCCCGTTCCAGGAGGATGACCGCGGGCGCTGTGTCCAGAAGCAGCTCTCACCCAATGGTAGGTGCACCCACCCTCCAGCCTCTGCCTGCACACCTACCTGCACACCTACCCTGCACCTCTGCAGCTCTGGGAGGTTCTGTGCCTCAGGGCAGCCCCCCACCCCAGCAGTAGCCCGTCCTCTTCCTTCTCTCCATGGCAGCTGTATTTCTGTGGGGACACAGCTCTTCTCCCTCTCACCCCAGCTGGGAGTGTGGTTTTGGGCTGGAAGCCCATCCTGCTCTGTGTGCATCCTGCTCTACGTGCATCCTCCTTTGACGACTGTGTGTAGCTCTGTCAGCACCGTGAGGAGCCCAGGACCTCCAAGGACAGGAGTAGGACAGGCAGCTTCTGGGCATCTCCAGGGTCTGCCTGGCTGTTCCAGGGTTCGGGCTTTGCAGGAGCAGGGGAGCCACTTTCAGCACACAGACTTATGCTGATTCTGTTGGTGACTGAAACAGGTGTCCGTGGCCTCACCCATCCCAGGGCTGAGCTGGTGCCGATGTTTGGGGTTTCAGTGCTTGATTCCTTTTGGTTTGAGATGTTTGACTGCGGTTCAGGACTGTTGTTTCCTCCTTGGGTGATGCCCAGCATCCATGCTGGGCAGGCTGGAGTCAGTTATGATGGGCAGGACCACTTCCTGGCTGCACACCAGGGCACTGAGGGCTTCACTGGGTGTTATTCCTGGCTCCATCCCTGAGGGATCTGAGGGGCTGTGGCAGCCCCTGATGTTCACCCATCCCACTGCTGCTGGAATACTTGAAGAGTGCTCCCAGTGCAGCTTTGACAGCTGTGCCCCTGGTTCAGCTGCAAAGATAGTGCCGGGGGCCAGTCACAGGCATTTTTTTAGTGTGACAGTCAACTCTTCATGCAGCTTGGAAAGCTATGGCTGAGCTGTTTCTGTGCCCCCTTATCACGGGTTTATCTCACAGATGAGTTAAGACCGTAATTATGGCTCCACACAATTATTTATTGTTACAAAGTGGAGTGGCCTCTGTGGCTGGGGAAGAGGCCAAGATCGGCCACGCCCTCAGGCTGCTCCTGGCGGGTTCTGCCGGGGACCACCTGGATGCAAGGTACTCTGGAGTGCAGAACAGATTGGCATCTCCCCTAGCCCACCCTTCTCCACCTGCTCTTCACTCCCACTGCTCCTAAAAGTCTCCTGCTAAAGGGTTCCCAGCTCCTGGGGAGCTTCTGAAAACATGCAGGGTGGCTTGTCCTATGCCAGGCAGGATGGACAAGCACTGATCATTGAACCAGGGAGGCAGCTCCCCCTGCATCTGAGCTCCATGCAGGTATGGAGTTTTGGGTTTTGGGGGATTGCTTTGTGTTCTTGAGCATGTTCAGGGTCTTGTCGGGGTACAGTTGGAGATATCCTTCATCCATGGCTCAGCCCAGGTGGGCACGTGGAGGATGTCAGAGCCCAGCATGCCTTCAGTGCCTTTCCTTGCAGGAGAATTACCCTGTAAATCAGAGGGGAGAGCCCCAAAGCAAGGTCCTTTGGCTGAAATGAGAGGGATGGCTGGGGAGGATGAGAGGGGATGGCACAGGGATAGGGTCTAGACTTGGCGTTTGACAGCAGTCAGCACGCTGCCATGGGCTCTTCATCCACTGGCACTGAATGGCTTTAGCAGTTGTTTATAGTTTATTTTTTAATGTGAAGTCTTGAGAGCAAATTCCCCTCTCACAAGGGCTGCACATGCGCTAGCGTCTCCATAGCAACGCAGCTCCTTTCTGAAGGATGTGGCCACAGTTGCATCCTCACCCAGCGAGATGCAGGACCATGGTACCATCCTCTAAGGACCTACCACGGGAGGATGGTGACACCAAGGTCTCTCCCAGTCCCATCCTGTTGTCCCAAGCAATGCCACTAGATTGTGGCAGCAAAAGTGTGGGGACTGTGGTAAATAAAAAAAGGGGGATCCCCTCCCAAATTCTCTGTTTTAGCATCCTGAGGATGCCCAGCTCCTCTTGTCAGGGAGGCAGGCACCATTTATTTTTCCATGGGGGCTTTCTCATTCTGCCTGTACCTTCGTCTGGTAGCAGCACCAGAGAAGGCTGTGAGGATGAAGAGGGGCTTTGATAACTGCATTTAAGGGGAGATGCAAGGCAAACAGGGGGCTGCCATAGCCCAATGATGCCTAAGCTTTTGAAGGGGATACCCATGCAGCCTTTTTGCTACCTAGGCAGCCCCTTTAAAGGATTACACATCCTTGAGCCACTTGTGACTGCTGGTGATTCCGATCCTGGGATCCTGCCACTGTGCCATCCCCACAGTTCCTGGCAGGAGCCAGGGATCCTCTCCTGAGAGCAGCTTTTTGGGGTAAAAAGCACCTTTTGGGGTCTCAGGAGGGCGATGCATGTGAGTGGTATGTTCCTGCCATTATGTATAGGGGTCTCAGCATACCTGGCACAGCATCAGCGCAGACGTGAGATGGGCTGCATGGAATCTGGGTACCGTGCATCCCACAGCTGCCTGGCTGCACCTGGCTGCTGCTGTCTTGCACAGAGCTCTGGGCCCCCCAAAATCCTGCATGCACCATGGTGCTGCATGTGTCTGTGCTGTGATGGCTTTGAGTGATGTGCTTTTGAGATAGTGGGTCTCATCCCTGCTTCTGCTTGACCAGCATGGAGCCCCACTGGGCTGCAGGAAGCACTTTGAGAAAAGGGGCCTCAGCTCAGAGATATGGGGGTTCCTCCTTCCTTGCTTGCTGTGCTGCCAGCACCAATGAGGAAATCAGCCATCCTGGGGCAGGACTGTAGAAATTAGTGGATGTGTAGGAATTTGTGCCCTCCTGTGGACTCTGTCAGTCAGAGGTTTCCTCAGTCCAGGGCAGAAGCCACATATGTCCCTCCTTGGTCCCTGTTTCCCCAAACTGCCAGGGGAGGTGTGTGTCCCAGAGTTGAGCACTGAGGAGGTGGAAGCTCTGAGGAAAGGCCAGGGCCAGACCAGAGGGGCTTAGGGGGACTGTATGTCAGCCTGGCCATGCCATCCTGCTGCAGCAGTGGTGGCAGCTACCATGAGGGGGCACCCACACCCTGCACAAGCCCTGCCTGCACCCTTGAGTGCCCCTGTGCATGTCCTGTATGTGTCCATGCCCTGCCTGGACCGTGTTCCTCTCCAGCATCTCTGCTCCCGCTCCTGGGGCAATCAGACAGGAGCTGGGGCTCACTCCAGCCCCCTGTTCCCTGGAGCAGCTCAGGGCCAGCATCTCACACACCCACAATGCCTGGCAGGACCCAGCCCTCACTGCCCTCAAATGTGTGGTGGCAACTGTAGCATCATTGGGGGCGGTTTAGCTGCCACACAGAATGGGAGGTGGGCAGCTTTTAACCACTAGAAGAGAATTTGATGATAAACCTGGTTAGTGCAGGTAAGTGGCACAGCCCAGGCACTGCAGCAATGCTGGGACCCCAAACTGCTGCCTCAGTTTCCCATGTGCCACTTCACACACTCCCACAGGATGGGAGACTCTGAGGACCTGGCAGCTGCTTAAAAGTTATTCAACTTTTTTTTTTTTTTTCTTTTTTCCAGCCACATCACATCCAACACCAGCACAGGGGCAGCACATGTGAGGACAGTGACTCTTGGTGCTTTTCTTTAAAGCAAGAGTGTCCCCCTTTTAAATTGTTTTTTTCGCTCATGTGGCTCTGAGTCATGGGGCAGCAAGATGGCCTTTGTACACAGCTCCAGAGGGAATCAGGGTTTATTTCCAAACACTGGATATGAGGACAGATTCCAGAGGAGATGTAACCTTGTTATAACCTTGAATTATCTGAGAATCAAGCTGCCAGTACCACCTTGCCTTTGTGTGTCTGGATTTAGCCCCCAGGGCTTCCCTGAGGGGACAGTCTGAATATGGGCAAAGGAAGCAGGGATAGGGTGGGGATTGAGATTGGGACAGGGATATCTACTGCCCTTGAAGTTGAGTTTAATCCTGTTAAAAGCAGTGGTGAGTGTCAGAACTGGACTCTGTTTGATGAGCCTGAGAAGAGCAACTCCACTCTTGCTGCAATGCTGTAACCTCGTGGGTGGGCAACTCCAGGCCAGAGTGGGAGTCCTGCCTGTGCCTAATGCTGCAGGAGCCCTCTAAGAGGTAAATGTCCCTTGTGAGCACTGTGCTGGGGCATGGGCTTGGACAGCCACCTGTAAGTTGCTGCTGGGGCCAGCCACTGGGGGTACATCCCTTGCTGCATAGGGCACCCCTGCCCCTCCCCAAAGGAACTGCATCCCACCAGGCACTGGGCAGGAACCAAGCCCTCTACTGGAGCAAGGGCTCCCATGGTCTGCTGAACAGCCGAGCTGAGCACTATTCTGAGGTGGGTCCAGCCACCCTGGGCCATAAAGGACAATTTGAGGTGAACACCAGTGTTCAGATGTCCCCTGACTGCAACTCACTGTGCTGAAGCTACCCCTGAGGCAGCAGGGCAGCTGAGGAGTATCTGTCCTCCTCATCGGGACTGCTCCCATCCCTCCTTACTCGGGACTGCTGTGTGACCCCAGGACAGGGACACAGGGCAGGTCCTGCACACCAGTCCTGCACACGGGTGCTGGCACCCTGCCCTCTCACAGAATCTGCAGGACCTGCTGCCTCTCCCACAAGGGCAGATGCTGTTGCTCCTGATCCTCCTGCGTTTGTGGGGTGAAAATTCCACCGAAAGCAGCAAGGATACACACGGGTCCTGGGGCCCAGCTTTCGGAGAGCTGTGTCTGAGGAGCCTCAGACTGAACACCACCTGTGTTTGCTGGAGCTGGGACAGGAGCCCCTTCTCGGGGGTACTGGTCTGACCCTGGGGGTGGGCACACGGCTGCACCCCACAGTGCCCATCTCACAGCCATTCTCCCGTAGGACGCTCCTCCGTTCCCAGCTTGGAGGCAGAAATTGATTTTCTCGCAGATGTGCTGGCCAAGCAGGAGGCTCCTCGCCACCACCCGCTACAGGATGGCAGACCCAGGAGTAAGTGCTCACTCCCTGCTCCCAGCGGTGCCAGGGACCCCATGACAGCCAGACCCTGCACCCCAGGCAAGTTTGCCCCTCTGGAGCTATGCTCAGCACTGTGTCTTCTTCCACAGCCACCCTGGTGCCCAACGTCAGCAGACAGCGTGTGGCCAGTGGGCTGAGAGGGGGGCATCTGCAGCAGGGTCCCACTGGCACTATGGCAGCCACCACCCTCCCCACCACTGCCACAGTCCAGAAGTACCCAGTGGAGGCGTCCCCCATCCCTGCAAATGACAACATAGTGCTTGGTGAGACCCTGGGACTCAGAGGAAGGGGTTTCACACCCTCACCGGGGAAACATGGCCTGGTGTCACCATGCTGCCAGCTCACCTGCTGTCCCTTGCTGTCCTCTCCACCTCTGCAGGGCTGATCGTGATGTGCACAGTGGCCGGGATCTCAGCACTGATCGTGGCAGCCATCTGCTGGTGCAGGTGAGCTGGGGCTGCTGACGGTGCCTCGCTGTCCCTGTGCCCAGGGACACCACCAGTATTCCCATGCTTCCCAGGCATGAGGGACTGGAAGAGTGACAATGCCAGTCTCCCCATGTTGTGGCATCAGCTGGCCAGGGCAGGAGGACAGTAGTGAGACACCCCATGCCAGATGCAGGCTCCTGGGAGCAGGTGGCACCTGGTGTCGGCGTTACTGTGGCGCTGGGTCCTGACACTGCCAGCACGCTGGTGCCTTGTGCCCAGGCCCTACGGGATGGAGGTGACTGTGCCTGTCATGGTGCCATCACAGGGAACAGGGCTGGCCCTCCAAGGGTCAGTTCTCTAGGGTAGACTAGAGAAGTCATTGTACTCCACACTGGGCACCGGTGAGGCACCTCAAATCCTAGGTTCAGTTTTTGACCCCTCATGGCAGGAAAGACATTGAGGGGCAGGAGCATGTCCAGAGAAGGGAATGGAGCTGGGGAAGGGTCTGGAGCACAAGTCTTATGAAGAGCAGCTGAGGGAGTGAGAAAGGGGCTCAGCCTGGAGAAAAGGAGGCTCAAGGGGGGACCTTTGTGCTCTCCACAACTCCCTGACAGGAGAGGACAGCCAGGGGAGGGTTGGGCTCTGCTCCTGGGGAACAAGGGACAGGATGAGAGGAAAAGGCCTCAAGCTGTCTCAGGAGAAGTTTAGGTTGGATATTAGGGAAGATTCACGTAAAGTGTGGTCAGGAATTGGAAAGGGCTGCCCAGGGAGGTGGTGGAGTCACCATCCCTAATAGTGTTCAGAAAACATGCGGATGTGGTACCTGGGGACATGGTTTAGTTGTGGACTTTGGCGGTGCTGTGTTAATGGTTAGACTTGATCTTAGAAAGCTTTTCCAACCTTAGTGATTCCTTGATTCCAATTCCCCTTCCCGGCAGGCTGCAGAAGGAGGTCAGGCTGGCACAGAAAGCAGACTACTCAGCCCAGCGAGTAGCCAGCCCCCTGCCCTATGACAAGATCTCGGTAAGGTGCCCGTGTCCCTCTCTGTGGGATGTTTGGCACTCGGGCCCCAGTGCTCTGCTGGAGGGATTCCCACATGGTGGAGGCCCCCCACCAGCCAGGCTGGGGCCCTCCAAAGCCCAATCTCCACAGCTGTTCCTGCTCTCTCCACAGCCCGGGGACAAGACGCTGGCTCAGAGTGCCCAAATGTACCACTACCAGCACCAAAAGCAGCAGATGCTCTCCCTGGAAAAGTAAGCAGCCTGGAAGCAGACAGCGTGTTGTATCCTGCCATTCATCTTCCTAATCATCCCATTGGGCTTCACCTCCTTTCTACATCTTCTTCCCCCCAGGCATAAAGAGGAGCCCAAGCTGCCAGACTCGGCATCATCTGATGAGGAGAATGAGGATGGAGACTTCACCGTGTATGAGTGCCCTGGGCTGGCTCCGGTATGTGGGTGCAGGAGGGCCAGGGGTTCCTGTGCATGTGGGGGTGTCCAACATGTGCCTGGGATGTGCACTTCTGTGTGAGGAGCCTTCTCCACGTGTTCTTCATCAACCCTTGAGGTGGTCCAACCCCTCTGCTCCACCCATGTCCCTGGTCAGCTCCCACTGAAGTTCTCCAGTGGGCAGGAGTGCATGTCCTGGTACAAGGCTTTTCCCTGGGAGCAGAGAACTAGAGCAGCCCTTGGCACACCTGACCCACTATCCCTGTGGTGACAGGGACATGGGCACCACTCCTGGGCACCGGGGCTAGGGAGGCTCGTCCTTGTGCCGTCCCAACGCCTGGAGCGAAGACCTGTGACCATTCACAGGCAGAGAGGATGTTCCTGGCTAGCAGGGGACTTTGGGGAAGGGCAGCTCTTAACAGCCCTGGGTACAAAGAGTACAAAGGGACAAGAGGAGCCTTTTACATGGTAATAGCTGCAGAGCGCAGCCATCAGGGCCCAGATCGAGGGTCATCAGTGGGTCTTTACAGGCCCATTAAAGGGCACTTGATGGCAGGCAGGCAGTCTGGGCAGACCACCCCATTCCTGCCAGCCGTGCTGGGGGACCCATCCTGGGGTCCCCAGTCTGAGCAAGGAACTCTATTCCTGCCAGCCAGGCTAGGACTGCTGCCCTGGGGTCCCATTCCACCCAAGTCCTTGGGTTTTATCCCACCCCATCCCCTCCTGCCAAGGAGGCACCACCTTTACAGAGTGATGGGAGTCCTGGTGTTGGTCATCCATCGCAGCCCCCTAGGTCACCCCCCTCCCCTTCTCTCTCCTCCCTGTCGGGCTGGGGCTCAGATCCAAACCCCTTGGGATAAGACAGCTGAATCCCAGCTGTTTTCTGACCTCCCGCCTTTTTCTTCCCTCATCCCTCTCCCTCCACCACGGCAGACCGGAGAGATGGAAGTGAGAAACCCGCTGTTTGACGACTCTTCCTTACACCCCTCCAACCCCAAGTCGCACCAGTAACCATCCCATCTCCTGTTCCCGAGCTTGCTACAGACTGTGCCCGCTGTGCCCGCGGCTGTGCCCGGCGGGGTGGCCGTGCTGGAGGGGCACCCACAGCTGGGCCGAGGGACCTGGACCTGACCCCGCGCTGCCAGACTGTTCAACGCCTGCCCAATAAACACCCACTAACAGCTATGGGGGGGGGATCGCCCCCGTTTCCAGCCTCCTTGTCCTCTTTGCTGCTGTGATCGCGTCCCTGCATTGCCCTTCGCTCACAGCTCTCGCAGGCGCAGGGGGCAGCTGCCTTGACACAAAAATTGGGGGGTGAGGGGGGACTGCGGCACTGTCCCTCTGTGGTTGGCTTTGAGGAGGGGGCTGCTGCCCCGGTTGCAGCTAGGCTGATACACAGCAGCTGGGAAGGAGCCAGAGAGAGGGCCAGAAAGTAGGAGAGGGCCAGGAGGGCTGGGCATGCTCATGCCTGGCATCAGGGCTGCCAGCCTGCCCAGAGCCCCTCTGCCAGGGATGGAGCCTTTTCCTGGAGGAGGTGGCATCACTAAGGGCTTCAGTGCCCATTCTGCCTCCTCCATCCCAGCCTGGGCAGCTCCTGGCAGCAGGATAGTGCTCTAGGAGCCAATGGCAGGAGCAGGAGCAGCTTAAGCAGGCATTGGCATCACTCCCCAGGATGCTCATTCAGATGCTGCCCTATGCTCTGACCCCTTTAGGCGTGCTGGGCTTCAGGTCCCCTGAGACATGGACAGTCCCAGTGCCACTGTGGCCTGGGAGCCCACATCAGTCTGTGCTGGCAGAGGATAGGCTCTCTCTTACCAGAGGCCTCAGTGAGGTAAAAGCTCAGAAAAAGTGTTCAAGGTTTTGTTTTTAAGCCTATGTGGCTGTGGGGGAGGAAGGAACAGGACTGGAGAGAGCTGGGATGGCTGAGAGGGGTAGCCAAGGCATGGGGGCTTTGCTGTGCTGCTTCAAACCCCACAGAGCCCATGCCCTGGCAGCATCCCTGTGGAGCCTGGCATTGTGTGTTCTCTGAGCATCCCTCTGTAGCAGGCGACAGTCTCCACTGCTCCATCCCGGGCACCTCTCAGGCCTCAGACACTCCCTGCACCTCTTTGTTGCCTGTGTCCAGCCTCACCAGCTGTCACCAACATGTTTTTGCTTGGAGCCCAGTGCTGCTCCTCAAACTCTCCCAGGTGCATAGGCCATGAACCCCTCCAGTGGAAGGTCCAGAACAGGATTTGGGGTTTGGGTTACTTTGCACAGGTGTGGCTTCATGTCCAGACCCTGTTGTGGACTGTCACTGCCACAGGTGACCTGTTGTTCTCACAGGAGCCATTGCACACTCGGGCAGGCATGGGCAGGGCAGGCAGCAGTGGCAGGGATGTGCTGGTGAGTGGTGGTGGCGTGGGACCATCCCTGTCCCTGGCAGGGTGGCTGACGGAGGCCACCATGGCACAGATTCTGTCCCCATGTCCTGTGCTCCCCCTCCCCTGGGCTGCTGCCACTCTCCCCACACCTCTCGTCGTTGTTGTATGAATTGTAGTTCTTTTAAAAGGAGATTTTATTAAACAACCATGTTTGAGACCCATGCGAGTGTGTGGTGTGGGGCCCGCGGCTTGGGGGGGGCTCCTCTCGACAGTGGGGTTGGACAAGGGGACAAGGAGGGAGGACGCTGTGGGTCCCCAAACCTTCTCTAGGGAACAGTGAGCAACCATCCTGCTTCTGCTGCTGGAGGAGCGTCCAAACCTTTCCCAAGGGTTTTCCCAGGCACATAAAGAACCGGGGGTAATTTTCTTGTCTCCCAGTATTTGCCAGGAGAGGTTTCTCCGGCGAGAGGTCGGGTGGGAGCCCCCGCACCTAGCCCTGCAGCACCCAGAACTCTCTCCCCTCCGCCCCTCGCCCCCAGGGCCCTTCGCACCTCGGGGATGACAGATAAGGGCTATCGAGTCCCTGCATTGTGTGCAGCCGAGCTCCTTTGATCACGCCAGCCCTCCCATCAGGCTGATACCATCTCTCCTGGTTTCGGCAGCCCGAGGTGGGTGCTGACTCACCGCCAAAGCACCCACCCAGGATGCTTCTGTCATGGGGGTCTCCAGCTGCACCCCTGGGCGATGCACACCCCAAATAACCCGAGATGCCCCCAGGGCTCAGTCCTGGGGAAACCCAGCCTCGAACACACTCCTCTCTGCCGAGGTCCCCAAATTTGTCCTCCCTTTGCTCCCACAACACAGCAATCTCCCTTGGAGCACATCCAGACATTTTGGGAAGCTCTAGCTTATAGTAAAACTTGAATGTTCTGCCAGGGAAAACTCCCTCGCTCCGGGCACGGTTGCCACTGGAGCCCTGCGTCCCCTGGGAATCCCTGCCCCTATTACACACCAAGCATGGAAGAGTCATTTGTCCAAGGACAGGACACGTGTGCTGCAGACATCCAAGGCCTTCAGCCCCCACCTCATTTCTCCCAGCAGTAACACAATAGGGTGAGCCCACTTGTGTGTTCAGGCACTGTGCTGCTGTAGGTTACACATTACAGCCTTTGTAATAAGGGGACAGAACTGGACCAAAATACCCTCTGTGATCTTCCCCTGGGCCAGGTTTGGAAGTACTGACTCCATACTGTCCTCCCAGGCCAGCTGCAGCCCAACAAGCTGTGCTGACAAGGAGCAGATTGGTGTTCCTCCAGACATGGGATTTCTGGAGATGAGACCCCTGTCCAGTCCTCCTTAAATGATCCTGGAGTGGCCCCATCACCCTGACCCACCGCGTGCAGGACTGCAGCCCTCCTTCCATGGGCAACTCAGGAGTATCCAGCACAGCCCCACTGGCCTTTCCATCACCTGCCACAGAAAAGAGTGTCCTGACCGTGAATAAAACATCACCCATGCTCATCCACTCTCTTAAAATCCCAAGCATCAGTGCCACACCAGCACACTTAGCAAAGGGAGGATGAGCAGATGTAAATCTCTCTCGCTCAAGCCCTCTCCAGCCTGCTGCCATCTCAGCCAGCCAGTAAAGCAGATGCATTTCTTTCTGCTCCTATTTTCTTAGCAGGATCCCACCAATCCCTGGCTGCCTTAGACAGAGCCTGGCCAAGCCTGGAACACCAGTAGGTTCCAGATATGAGCTGATAGAAGGATGCATCTATCCATCTCCTCTGGAGCAGGCAGAAGAGACGTGGTCACTGGTGCTCAAAGACCCTACACAATAACATCACATAGCCTCCCCCAAATCACCCAAAATCATTGAAATGTAGGGGGGGGGGCACACACGGAGAAACCCCACTGACTCCTTCCACATCCCCCAGCTAAAACCATCACCGCCACAATGGGCCCCGCGCCTACAAAGGGGCCAGTTCAAAGTCAACGTCTCCCTTCCCCTCCGTCTGTATATGAAAGGACCAGGAATGCGTTTGAGGGCCAGGGGGGAAAAGGAGAGGCAGAGGGGGGGAGGGGGGCCTTGGAGGCTTCCCGGGGGGATGGAGAGACAAAGTAGGTTGGCAGGAGGAGGGGGTCCAGCCCGGGAACAATAAATCAAAGGGAAAGGGAGTTACTGCCCAGCCAAGGAGCTTCTGAAACCCTGGGCCGAAGCAGGAGCCTGGGAGGAGCAGGGCTGATGGCTGCCATCAGGGTCCCGCAGAGACATTTCCTCTGCCCGCTGGCAGTGGGGCAGGCAGGAGCACAGCAGGCAGTGAGCAGGTGTGCCTGCATAACGCTGGCTCCTGCATCCCCAGCAGCACGGTCCAGGTCGTCCCTTTGCAGATTGAATCCAGCCCCTGCTGGCGAAGGTGCTTCACCAGTCTAGGCATGGGATCCCCGAAGTCCAGAAGCCACAGGGCTCACTCAGGGCTGCCCATGTCCCCGCTGACAAGGTTTTTGAATCCTTAGTTCACTTTCCTGGGGCTGCCCTCCCTGCTGGAGCAGTGTGGCACAGTCAGGAAGGCAGCCTGGTACATGTCCTGCCAGGCATCAGAAGTAGGCATTAATTCCAGCTGATCCACCGGACCGGTTTTTTCCTTAGAGGAATATCATCAAGAAGCTTAGCTGTTCCACTTCCCCTGACATGCAGGAGTGCCATGTGTTGGGCTAGGGGCTGCTGCTGGCATTGTGGATACCAGTCCCGAGATACCAGTCCCTGGATGCCAGCCCTCTGGCAAGGGCAACTCTCCTTGGGTGTCAGTCCTTGGGCTCCAGCCGCCTCGGGAGCCAAAGCAAGTACTTCATAAACATCATCAAGCACCTTCCCCGAGTTCCCCCGCCCACAGTCCCATTCCCATCCCGCCGCAAGGGAGGCTGCTCTAGCCTATCTCCTCGCCATATCTCTAGTGCGAGACGGCAGCAGCTCCCGGTAATCCGGGTTAATAAACAGGCAGCAGTGTCGGCAGAGGGAATCACTCCCTGCCTTGCACCAGGTGGGATCACGGGGGTGCTGGCAGGAGCAGCCTTCGTCCTGCTCCAGCTGAGGTGAAGGGGTGCCCACGCTGCTGGTACTTGCCCGTGGGCAGGAGCTGGCATCGGGCAGAGCCAAGCAGAGGCTGATGTGATGGCAGGGTCAGGATCGGGTGCTGAACCAGGAGGGCAGGAAAAGGGAGCCAGCCCTGGTAGCGCCATTGTGAAGAGAAAGTCTTTAAGATAGAGAAAATATCGTGCTTCATTGTGGAGCCGATGGACACGACAGTCGGGGCTGCAACTCCTTCCCTGGCAGCATACCCCGAGCGCTGGGACCCCAGGGACAGACACACTTCTTTGAATCACAGCCCTTCTCTGCAGAGTGAGGAACGGGAGAGGAATGGTGAGACTGTAAAGGGCCCTGGGAGCCTCGACTCTGTCCATGCTCCCCAAGGAGCTAAGGCTCGGTCAAAAAGACCAGGCATCAAGAGGGGCTTGTGATGGTCAAGCCCTGGACCATCCCTGCTGCTGCACGATGACACCGGCATCGCGCGGCTTGTCCTCTGTACTGGGGACAAGTGGCTGCCGCAGTTGGATAGGCTGCCCTCACACCAGCCCCTGACCCCGGTTCATGCCAATAGCTCCCCAAAGCCATCCCGTTTCTTGCCCAGGCTCCTCTTGCCTAGGCTAGCGCTTGGGGAAGACTCCGCGGCTGTTGCTGCCCTAACACTGGCGCGGTGCTCCCCGAACAGCGTGGAGCTGGAGGGGTGCGAGGGACGTGGGTGTCCTCGAGTCCCTCGGGACCGGAGGAGAGGCCCTCCGGCAGTATTGGTGTCCTCGCCCTCCCTGTTCCATCGGGGCCGCCCCGTCCACCTCCCCGCCGGCGATGGGTGCGGACTGGCGCAGCCCCCTCCTATCGCACCTTCCCTCCGTGCCCCCCGCCCCCCTGGGGGATCAAGTTCACGCCCGACCCACCGATGCGGGGTCCAATGGGGCCGGGGCCCATCTCCATCCGGCCCGGCCCGGCCCCGCCACTCTCAGAGGCCCCGGCGGCGCCGCAGCAAGGAGGCAGCGGCCGGCAGCCCCCGCATGGAGCCCTAGGGCAGCGGGCGGCGGGCAGCATGTTCAGCCCGGACGGGGGGCTGCCGGCCGCCCCCTTCGGCCTCCTGCCCGACGCCGGACCTCCCTTCCCCCGTGGCAGCTTCGACGGGGCGCCCGCCCAGCCGCTCTTCTTCCCCTTCGCCGCCACAGCCGAGTCCGAGCCTGCCCGGGACCCGCCGCCCGCCCGCGCCTGGCTGCCCCCGCCCGCCCCCGCGCCGCCCGCCAAGACGGAGGCGCGCCCGGGCCGGCCCTGCAGCCAGCCCGAGCCCGAGCCTCGCACCGCCGCTTGCTGCGGCCCGGCCTGGCCCTGGGCCGGCCCAGCGCCCTCCGGCCCCACCGCCCTGCCCGGGCCGCCCTTCCCTGGCCCGGCCGCCCCTGCCTTCCCTGGCCCCCAGCTCTGCCCTGCCGCTCTGCAGCCGTGCTCCGGCGGCCCCTCGGGGCTGGGTAGCAGCGGCAGCTCCAGCGGCGCTGCCAGCGAAGGCGGACACTCCAGCGACAGTGGTGAGGAGGTGAGACCCGACGGGACGGGGATGGGGCGGGCTTCCCTGCCCCGCTACCACCGTCCTCACACGGTGTGTCCCTGGGGCTTTCCTCCCCATCCGGACCCGCGGTTCGCCGCCCCGTCGGTAGGAGCTGCCCGGCTGGTCTCGTGTACCGCCGAGACCCTGCCGGTGCCACCTGTCCGGCCCCACCATCGGGTGCCCCCGGGAGAAGCCGTGACCTGGCGCTCATCCCGAATGTGTCAGACTCTCCGCAAGGGGGGAGCCTTGGGGAGGCTGCTTTGGGATAAGATAGGGGTTTTTGGGAACTCGGGAGAGCATCTTCCCCTGCGCGATGCGGCCGGGCCGTTCCGGGTTGCAGTGCCGAAGGCCGGCTCAGGCGTAATACTCGGGGCCGCGCCTCGCGTTCATCGAGGGCTCCTAGCCAGCCTCGTCAGTCTCCTTCGGTCGGCTGCGTCCCTGGCCACCGTCTGCTGGGGCAGAGACAGGCCAGGGATGAAGGCGGGAGAAAGATGGGGGAAGTAGAGGTGGTTCCAGGTACGACTGTGGTTTGCGCTAGTTTTTAATATTTCTCATTGTTGACGTATCGCGAGTCCGCCCCGGGGACAGCGGCGGCGGCCGATCCCGAGGGCTGGTCCGTGATGGAGGTGGGAGGATTCGCACTGCCGCCAGGATCGATGCGTGTGTGTCCTCGGGCCGCAACCGGCCACGCTGGGTGGGGAGTGGTCATCAATGGCGTTTTCTAGCTGCGGGACGGCGATGTAGGACGGCATCCCTCCTCCGTGGGAGGGATGCTCTGAGTTTACCAGTGCCGATTTACGCCAGAAGCTAATAGCTGTGACTCAGTGACAGAAAAAATTCCTGAAAGACCTGAAACCCCTCTGGAAACGTAGGAAGTGGGTTTAAGGCTTCGAAATGCCCCCGTAGAGGCTGAAGGCTGCGCGGCAAGAAGGTGGGAAGCGCCTGGGTAGCCGCCTGCCAGAATGGAAGAGCCTGCTGGTGGCAAAGAGGTGCTTAAATCCCACGGGGCTCACGGGCGCTTTTGTCCCTCTCTTCATGGGAGTCTTTTCCCTGCTCCGGACACAGGCGGCAGAGCGGCTGGTGAGAGGCTGCCTCAGCCCGAGAGCTATGGGGAAGTGGCCCACGCCACGGGAGAATAGAACGTCCCCGTGCGCACATGTCGTGGGATGAGTGAGAATGGGGCAAATTTGGGACTCAGCCAATGTGACCACATTGCTGCCTCTGGCCAGGCCAGGAGGGCGCGAGCCAGAGGACAAAAGGGAACGTTTCCAGTGCATGTTGAGGCAGAACAGGAGCTCTTGGTGCCCTTGTGCTTGGCCGCCGCCGCGCCAGATTGGGTCGAGCTGAGCAGTGTGCGTGGTCGGAGTGGGTCTTGTGTAAGCCTGGTCGGTGTCAATGCTGCCGAGGGCTCAGCCGAACCCTCTTCTGCCGCTGTCCTTCGAGGACCCCGACAGACACTGGACCCTGGGTGCGAGTTGTCCCTTCTCAGTGTCTTTTCTGCTCCTGCCAGGATGCGCCAACCTCAGGAGAGCTGGAGCAGTTCGCCAAGGACCTCAAGCATAAGCGCATCATGCTGGGCTTCACCCAGGCTGACGTGGGGCTGGCGCTGGGCACCCTCTACGGTGAGGGGTCGGGGGAGGGTCCTTGCGTTCCCCCACAGCCGGTGGGAAGGGAGAGGGCCGGGAGAGGGTTTAGAATCACCTGGGCTAATGATTTCTGCTCTTTAACGACCTGCAAAGGAGATACCAAGCACCAGTCCCGGGTATCTCCAGATCTGGGGTGAGCTGGAGGGTTCGAGCTCGCAAGGAACTGGTTTAAAATGGCTACAGTTGCTTATTGAGACGTGTTTCAGGGCTTTAAATCCCTGCTGAAGGAACAGGGAGAATGCCTTTCCCGGTCTCCCAGGAACAGGGCAAGCTTGGGGGTGGTGATCCTGGGGAGCCGCTGGTGAGGGAAGCCATGTGTTGTGTAATGTCCTGCCTACCTTGCCCGCACAGGGAAGATGTTCAGCCAGACGACCATCTGCCGCTTCGAAGCACTCCAGCTCAGCTTCAAGAACATGTGCAAGCTAAAGCCGCTGCTGCAGCGCTGGCTCAACGAGGCAGAGAACACGGACAACATGCAAGAGGTGCAGGGCTGAGGGGGCTGGGAGTCTGGTACCTGCAAGCCCTGAAACCACAGATTCTCCTCCCTCTCCCACGTGCTTTCAGGGAGAGAAGAGGGGAACTGAAGGCATCTTGTGCCACAGCACAATCTTGCTGCATGGCTTGAGGGCAAACCACGGGGTATCATCTTCTGCCAGGCTGGGAAAGAAAGCCCAATCTCCCTGCAGACACTTTGTGATTGTGGCAGCTCCTATTTTGGAGTAGCTGTGTCCTGCTGGAATCTCAGAGAGACTGAATGTGCAGCTTGTTATTCCCTGGGGAACCAGGGGGGGAATGCAGAAAGATGTGTCCAGCCTCACTGCTGGCAGTGCTGGGACCCTGGAAACAGTGGAGTGATGCTCAGTGGAGAGTCACAGGGACACAATCTGTGCCCCAAGCTCTGCAGCCGGCTACACATGCTGGAGACTCTTCCACCTGGTAACCAAACATATTCCCTCTTTTATTCCCAGATGTGCAATGCAGAGCAAGTACTGGCCCAAGCCCGGAAGAGAAAACGCAGGACCAGCATTGAGACCAACGTGAAAGGGACATTGGAGAGCTTCTTCCGCAAGTGTGTGAAGCCCAGTCCCCAGGAGATCTCCCAGATCGCTGAGGACCTCAACCTGGATAAAGATGTAGGTTGGGAGGGTGGGGAGGATGGGTGCCCAAATAGTGCCAGCTCCTGAGCACCTGCCAGTTTGATACTTTAGCTCAGAGCAAAAATGAAATACCCATGGAGAGATGTAAACAACTGTCCTTTACCTCTGCCAGACAGTTAGGATATATATGAAAAAGAAAAACCCACTTGGTTCCAGAGGAGACTTTTGTTCACAGATTAAATATTTAAAACTTAAGAGAGGCAGAAATAGTTCCCAGACCCAACTACAGGCATCTGTGTTAGTATATATGTACATAAATATATGAAAGTAATCCTATAAAAGGAATCCTTTGATACTAAATCATCTCCAAAGAAGCTGATTTTTGATCCCAAGAGCCCACGTGGAAAGTTATGATGTTTTCCTTCTGAAGTGGAAGTACACCAGAAGAGAGACAAACCACAACCCATTAATAATACAAGTTTGCGTATTGGCTTCATCTGGCTATGCCATCAGCCTTTGGAGAGGAACCTTTCTTTCGATTTGTTGTAATCTTTCCTATTTAACGTTTGCCATTTTTGTAATCTCTCAACTCTGAAAGCAGTGGGAAAGTGGTCATGGCTGAAGTTTGTTTGAGCTGACCCTAGCAAGGAGTTGTGACAGGCTGCATTGGCAGGTTGGGGTGCTGTGGAGATGCCACCAGCAGAAGAGTCTCCTTGTCACCCCCCACAGTGTGCCTCGGTCACCCCCTAACCTCCTCTGTCTCCCTTTCCACAGGTCGTCCGGGTTTGGTTCTGCAACCGGCGTCAGAAAGGCAAACGGCTGCTGCTGCCCTATAGCAACGAGGCAGAGGGGATGATGTATGACATGAACCAGCCCCTGGTGCCCTCCACTCTGCCCATCCCAGTGACATCCCAGGGCTACAGCCTGGCACCCTCCCCTTCTGTCTACATGCCGACCTTCCACAAAGCCGAGATGTTCCCACAAGCGCTGCAGCCTGGGCTCTCCATGAGTAACAGCGGCCACTGAACCAGGGGCTGTGGGCTCACTGCAGGTGGGCTGCTGCTCTGGGGCAGCCCCCCTTACCCTGGGCTCACACAGGCACAGCCCTGCTTCTGCTTGCTGGGCTGATGTGTGGGGCTTTTGAGGTGCAATTGGCTGAGAGCCTGGTCCAGGGATGGTGCCTGCTCTCTGCAGATGCTCCCAGCCCTTCCCTGTCATGTGAGCTTACTGGTCCCCGTAGTGTTGGCCCCCCTCTGACCTCTCCTGGAGGCAGGCCTCACTGCACCCTCTGAAGCCACATGTGCCCAGGGCTCTTGAGCCCATGCCTGGCCCCAGCCCAGCCGCTCTCCTGCAAGATGCAGAAAAAAGTATTTTTTAGATTTTGGGAAGGGTGGGGGGAGGGGGTGGGGGTTTTTTTGTTTGTTTTTTTTTTTTTTTTTTTAAGGTTTTTGTTGTAGTTTTAAAAAGCAAAAATTTTTGTAGTGATCTAGTTTCCCAGGTGTCTCCTTCCACCCTGTCATGTAGAGCGGAGCTGGGGTGCCATGCCAAGGCCCAATGGCCCTGGTGGCTCTGCCCACCCTCCTGGGCAGCCAGGATGAGCCAAGGGCTGGGGCAAGGGGAGAAGGTGAGCCCCTCACCCTGTGGCACAAGAGAGCTTCACACCTCTGTGGGGCAGCTGATAAGGCTTATTTGGGTTGAGGGGGTCGTCCCCAGTGCTTTGTGCCCAGCATCTTCCCCAGCACCCCCCCCCCCTCCACTCTCCAGCTGCTGTCGTCCCCCCCCAGCCCAGCTTTCCCTGGAGGGCCCAGTCCAGGGGGCCTATACCACCCTGTCCATGCTGCTAGCACCCCATGCCTTCCAGCCTGCTGTAGTTAATGATGATTTAAAAATTTGTTGTTCTTAATCATATTCCCTCTGGCAGTGAAATAAATCTCAGACTTCTTTGAGGCAAGAACGAGTTAACCCTTTCCTTGCATCCCTGCTCCTGAAGCCCAGCAGCTGAGATTTGGCTGCATACAGGGGCACTGCAGGACTGGAGCAAGGCACCCTAAAAAGTTGGACATGTCCCCATCATGCCAGCTACACTCAGCTCTTGGCTGCCTGCAGCTTGGCATCCCTCCATGACTGGTGGCAGCTTGGCACTGGAGTGGTACAAACTTATAAGGGCTGTTGCCCCCTGAAGCAGAGGGGATCAAAAGTGAAAGGAGAAGGTCATCTTCAACCCATTTTGAGCTGCTGGTTTGCTTCTGGGAAGGCTGGAAGCAGTGTGAGCTTACTTGTAGGCTGCTCCAGCAGCTGCCAGGGACAGAAGGATTAAAGAGGATGTAGCAGGGTGGGCAGTGAAGAGGTCTGGAAAGCTGGGGCTGTCCTCATTGTAGTATGGTAATGACAGGGGAGGGATGGATGTTCCCATATGTGTGGTCCAGCTGAGGCAGTCTCTGGTGGGGTGATAACAACCCAGCCATGCAGGTCCATTGGGCACTGGAAGCTGAGCTAGTGGGAGCAGGGTTCTCTGGGGGATGACCCTTCATATTTTCCCCACCACACTCAGTTGGTTTGCCCCCAGTCCATTCTCTCGAGGGCCCTTCCCCTGAGCACAATGAAATCCCCAACTAAGCCTGTAGGGAAACTTATGGAAAGATCTGTTTTCAGCTTGATGGCTGGTAGCTGGGGTTTTGCTCTCTAGGGCTGCCTGGAATAGGGGCACCAAAGGCAACTGCTCACAGGGCACCTTGGGACCCTGCAAAGGGCTGGGCTGGGCTAGATATCAGTCCTATGGGGTGGGGCCCCTCTGCATCCCTGCTTGCTCCCCAGAGCCTCCTACTTGTCTGCCCACAGGGCATGTGTGGCATCCACCGGAAACTCCCCTGTTGCTGCTGCCCAGCACTGCCTGGCACTTGAGGGGGTGCAGGAGAATGGCAGGGTCAGGAGCAGAAATCTGAGATGTCATCTCCTAAAGGTTTGCTTCTCTCTACATTTCCACTATCTGGTTTTCTGCATGCAGTCATGCAAGAGTTGCAGCCCACCATGGTACCCCTACATCCTGCTACCCTGGCATCCCTTGCTCATGAGTACCCAGCATCTGTTTGTGGGCACCCACAGGCCCCTCCTGTTCCACTTCTGGTTGACCCAGAAAACAAAGCAGAAATCGGAAGCCACAGAAGTCAGAAGAGCACTGTGCCTGTCCAGCTGCCACTTCACCAGGACTGTGCTGGGGAGGGATGTCCTCTCTGCCAACTCTCAGTCCTGCTGGGCGCCTGGCAGCTCGCAGGGTGGCAGAGGTGGGCTTTGGTGACTTCAGGGCCACAGGGAAGAAAACTAGAAAGGCAACTTGTGACAAAGAGAGTTGTTTATATCAAGGGAGTTGACGGCACTGAGTAGAAGGGCAAAAGAGCAAGGCACAGATGGAGCAGTCATGTCTTACTCCTGGTCCTGTCACTCAACCCCAATATCACCACTGATCCCAGATGGGTACTTGCTCTTGGAATGCCCGTGGTGCAGGGTTTCCCCAGTGCAACTTGCCACGGGACTGGTTTTGCTTCGGGGTTGTGCAAGCCTCCAGAGGCTGTAAGCTCACTGGCTTCCTGTCACAGCAGGGAGTGACAAACCACAGTGTCCCTTTGCCTGCCTGGCAGCACTGAGATTGCTCTGAGAGTATCCGCTGTCCTGTGGCTCCTCACTGGAACAGTGACACCCATGGCTCAGGGGTGGGAGACAAGAAATGGGTGCTGCCAGGAAGAGGGGGAGCAGATGCTGTCCTTGCTGGCCATGGGGTAATGGACCCCCTCGGGGCTGACCTCTACTCCTCCAGCCCAGCCACAAATGTCACCACAAGGCCTCTGCTGCCAGGACTTTGACACTCAGCAGAAGGTACTGGGGAGACATTGAGGATCACAGGGGAAGGTTGGGGAGCCCTGAGACACCCACCACACCCCTGGCCTGCCCACACCACATGCACAGCCTCAGCAGCATTGTGGCACTTATTTCCAAAGCACCCTCTGGTCCTGCCAGCACCTTGGCAAGGTGTTGAGTGTTGGGTCGGGGTGAAAAGTCCTGTTTTACAAGAAATGAAGTCATGGGGAGTTGCTTGAAGTCGCAGTGTGGCAGCAGCTGGGTTGGGAGGAGAATGAGGGCTCCTGTACTTGCTCCACATTCTGTGTGCAGGTGGGTGCCTCATGCACTTCCCACCCCTGCCTGCATTCATCCCAAGGGTCCCGGTACGTACTAGGAGTTGAACCAGCTCTGCAGGTCAGGATAGAGGTGGCCATGGGGCAGGCGGGGGTAGGCCATGCAGATGGCACAGATCCGCTCCCTCCAGTCAGTGTAGAGCTTCACACTGAACCTCTTCTGCCAGGCAAAGAACTGCTGGTAGCGACTGGAGTTCATGGTCTTCAGGAAGGTGGCCAGCTCCTCCAGGGAGTCAAAATCGTTGACATGGATGAAGGAGTCTGCAGGAACAAACTGCTCATAGTTGGCCCTGGGTGGCCCCAGCACCACAGGAACGGTGCCAGCCAGCAGTGAGTTCCTCCAGAGCTTCTCTGTGATGTAGTCCCGGTGGATGGAGTTCTCAAAAGCCAGGTAGAACTTGGACTTAGATATTGTTGGCAAGAGGCAGTCCTTGCAGAGGGGCTTGTTGTTTGCTTTCCCATATATATTCACATGGAGGTACCTGGAGAGGTTTCTGTAGACTTCAGCTCTTTTCTGAGTCCTGTGGTAGTTGCTGATAACCCAGGACACCAAGTTGGTCTTTGCAGGGATGTTCACTGTGGCTGACCGGTTGGGCACAAGCTTGCCATAGGGGATGAAGATGTCTGAATCCTGTCTGTAGGTCATCACCCAGTTGAAGGTCTGGTTCCATGCTGCTAGAGCTCTAGTGTTGGAGGGGGACTCCAGGGAGACCCACACCCAGTTCTGCCCCGGCAGCCTCTCCTTGGGCAGTTTGTCCCGGCCAGGCTGGAGCCTGGAGTGGGGGAACACCACCACATCAGCCTGGTGCAGGAGCTGCCGCTCTGTGGTGAGCTGGCAGCCTGTGATGCTGTACAGTTCGTGGCACACGTCTCTGCTGATGTTGGGGACCTGCTTGGAGGGCCATTCCCACACCAGGATCACCAATGGCTCCCTATGTTTAGAGTCTTCTCCAGAGCCCTTGGAGGGGTTGAGGAAGAACCTCACGTTCCAGAAGGTGGTTACAAACACGCTGGCAGTGACCAAGGCCTTCACGCCAGGCCGGCCCCACGGTGACCATCGCAGCGGCAAAGCCCAGGGCATGCTGGTGGGTTGTCTGTCACCTCGTCGGGTGACAGAGCTGACACCTGTGAGAGAGGAGAGGCCACCGAGGGCCATCAGCTCGACTTGCCAGGGACAAGGAGTGATGGGGAGGCACTGTAGCCAGAGGGGCCAGAGAAAGAGCTTCTCAATGAAGTCTGAGCCTCAGCATCACTCTGCTTCCCTGTGCCAACAGAGTTCCCCATGCACGTGATGTCACCCCAGGGTGGCCTTTGTTCATGTTCCTGCCGTCCCTGATGATCTTTCGGGGAGCACAGATGCTGCTGGGAGGTGTAGAGCTGATGGGAAGTAGCCACTCGTGCCCCTCTGTCCCAGCTGGCTGGCCCCACTACAGGCAGTCCTTGCTTGCTCTGTGTCTCAGTTTCCCTACCTGACACACCCTACCACAACCTCAGTCCTCACTCCTTGCAGCTCACAGCCTCAGTGCCCCGAACATTCACATTTTATATTTAAGATGTCACAGATTGCCAGTGCTCCACTGCAGACAGTGGGGGGAGGACAGGGAGAGCAAAAAGGACAGTGCAGCACTTGGGGCTGCCACTGGTAGGGCTCAGCTTGCAGGCACATGGGCCCCCCAGCTATGGGATGCTCACCCTGCCGGGGTGCCCACCTGCCTACCTTGGACTTGTGTGGTTTAACCAGCAGCACTGCTGGAAGCAGAGCAGTGGCAGAGGTGGAAAGGGGAATGGTTGGCTGCACTGAGGACCAGCCACCGGCTTAAGCCCCCTCTGGAGAGCTGGTCCCACTGCAGGGCTCAGAGCGCTCAGCACCACAGGTGGTTTCCCCTTTTGTGGAAACCTCTGGAAACACATGGATCGCCTGAGCCCTGCGTCCAGCTGGGGCTGAGCCAGTGCCTCCAGTATTGGAGTCTCCTGGAAAGCAGTACCCTACTTTCCCATCCACCCCAGCACTGCAGCTTGGCTGCAAAAAATCCCTACCCCACTTTGGCCCACTCCATCTGTCCTGCTAAAATACATAAGTTTAAGCTCCAGACAACATTGCACATCAGTGCTGCAGGTCTCTGTCCCCAGCAGCAGGAATGCTGCTCCTGTTTTGGGGATGTTGTTCCCATTTTGAGGATGCTCTGAAAGGGAAACCCCTGCTCTAGCAGTGGTGGGGGCCACCCCGATTCTCAGCCCCTCTCCCCTCGGTGGTCAGTAATGTTGAACTCAGACTTACTGTGATGGAGGTGTGCGAGGTGCCAGATGTGTCTGCCTGGGTGCTGCTGCGCTGGGCTGGGGCACTCGAGGGCTTCCTCTTTTTTTGTTTTGCCTTGTCCCAGCCCTACAGCAGGTCCTTCCTGCCCCACGTGTCAGCTGGCACACCCCACTCCCTGCACTGCGCTGGAGGGTGGGTATCCTGTGACTAGGTAGGTGCCCCATGGTCGAGTGGGCACCTTCTGGCCAAATGGGCGCACCATGGTGGGTGCATGGCCCAGAACAAGGCGGGTGCCCCATGGCTGGGTAGGGGCCCTCAGCCTTGACAAGGTGCCACCCATCTGCCACCCGCAGCTTGGTTGCAAACAGGATACCAACTCCCAGTGACTCATCCTGAAACCATCAACTAACAGCCCTGAAGTGCCACCGAGTCCCAGGCACTGTCCTGTCTGGGATGTTTTCTGCCAAAAGGGGAAGCTGGCACATGTGAACCTCAGCAGTGTGTGCATGGAGAGCTGCCTCCTCTGCTCCTGCCCCAGTTCTGCCCTGCTCCCACTCTGGCTCAGTTGTGTCCTTTGCTGGCATTGCTGTTCAAGACTCAAGTTCCATGAAGGCAAAATTTGTCTCTGGCAGGCAAAATAAGATGGGAAAACTGAGGCAGAGGCAAGGGTATGCCCTGTGCCTTGGCACATACAAAGCTGGGAACAAGGCTCTGAACTGCTCCCTAGAGGTTCTGCTCCAGTGCCCCTGGGATCTGCACCCACGTTCCTGCTGGCTGCCAGCCTCTTGGGATCCCTGTTGGGCACAATGCCTTGCCACCATGTCACAGTGCAGAAGGGCTCCGTGGTTTCAGTGACGCTCCAGGAGCCCTCAAAGGCCAACTGCAGCCCCAAGGGAGGGTGTTTTCTTCTTCTGCCACCATGTCCGTTTCCTGTCATCTTTTCTCACTCCTTTTTCATTTCTTCCTCTGCATGATTGAGAGCCCAGATACCACAGTCCCTGGGCACCATTCCGAGCCTTGCCTGCCCTAGCCTTGCTGGCTGTGGGCAGTAGTCCCTGCCTGGCTGGAGCATTCAGCATCATCCTGCTGTTGCCCCAATAGCTTGCGAGCCCAGGGCCACACGGGCTGGGGCCATTATGCTCCATGGAGGACAGCACTGGGGACAGCTTTTCCCTAGGGTTTTCAGGAAAGCGGGGAGCTTTTACCTGGCACTTAATAAGCTGTCATGCAGGTGCTGCCCCAGGACACCTTGTGTGCAGGGACAATGCCCTGGGAAGACTTGCAGCCAGTGGATCCAAACACCTGTGGTCCAAGGGACATGGCTCTGAGCCAGGCAGGGAGCCAGGGCCAGTGCTGCCTGGGTAGGTTGGGCAGAGATCAAGGCCAGGACCTGGGCCATGAGACCATCAGGAATGCTGGACAGCACCAGGGAGATGTATGTGTGTGGGTACTGCCATCTGCAGATGATTTCACACAGAGACAGGAGCTTGGCCACCCCACAAGGAAGTCCCCTGAGAGGTGCTCAGGGTTCCCAAGGTGCTCAGGTGCTCCCAAGTCTTCAGGACCCTGGTCCATGGAGAAGATGGGCCACAAGGTCTTTGGAACTTCAAGCCCATGGAGAAGTTGGGCCACTGGATCCTTGGGCTTCAGGCCCTGGGTCGTTGGAGGAGATTTGCCACAGTGTCCTGAGGCTGTGCTGCCCTGTGGTACACTGCTGGGTCTGTCCCTTGCTGGCTTCTCAGGGTTTCCATGGCCATACCAAACAGAACAGCTGTGAAGCACCCCAAGACCCATGCAGGAGCAGCAGAGAAGGAGCAGGAGACCTAGTTCGGAGCTTTGACCCACCCGTGGGCCCCCCCACTGTGCTTCTCCAAGCTGGGGACCCATTCTGCTGCAGGACAGCGGCTTGGAGGTGCTCCTTGTGTGGGCTGCAGGGAAACCACACACAATTCTTTGTGAGGAGCCTAGGGCGACTGCATGCCTCCTTCCCCAGGGACCCAGTAAAAGCCCAGCTCCCCTCAATTCTGGGAGGAGCTGGGCACACAGTGCCTCTTCACTACATCACCAGGCATCCTTTGTCCTCCAGCACCTCAGCCCAGAAGTTTGGGGGATAATGCTGCTTTGTGTTGGACAAGGGGAGCTTTTGTTAACCCCAGGCAGCTGCCAAAGGGCCTGCCCTGAGCACAGGCTGGATGGAAGGATGGATAGAAGGAAGAGTGGATGGGATTAAGGAGGAGAGCTGGCCTGGTTCAGTCCTTACTGCTGAGGGCATCCATCCTTGGGTTCAGAGCTGACAGGAGACAGATGTGGCAGCAGGTTGGTCACTTCAAAATACACCCTTGGATGCCCCAGCACATGGCCGTGGGAAAAGTCAGGCGGGAGCAAGGTGGGCAGCATCCAAGAGCAAGGACAGTGTGGCACTCTGGTACACAGATCCCGCAGCCCACGGTTTAGTCCGTCCTGTCATGGGGGGGTACCAGGGGTAGAAGCGCTGACCTGTGTACGGTTGAGGGGCAGGAGGGCGGCGGCTCGAGGGGAGCGAGGGTTCCCTGGGCCCCTGGGACAGTAGCCCCGCTCCGGACAGCCATCACCGGGGCCACTGTTACCGGGACGAACCAGGCCCGGGCCGCGCTGTGCCGGGGAAAGAGGAGCGGGCGCGTCCGGCGGTGCCTTTAAGGGGCGGCTGCCGCGGGCCGGGGGTGGTGCTGGTGCTGGTGCTGCGCAGGGTCGGGGCGGGTGCGGCGGAGCCAGGCCTGGCCGAGGCTGCTCCGGTTCCTCGCAACCCACGGCAAGCAGTAGACGACGGCTGCGTGGGGATGGCGGTGGGAGGCGGGTGACTGCGGAGCTTAGCGCAGCGCGGCCGGCCCGACCCGACCCGACCCGGCCCCACCCCACCCCACCCCACCCCACCCCACCATGGGGTTCCTGCATCAGCTCCATCTTCTGCTCTGGAAGAACGTGACACTGAAGCGGCGCAGCCCGGTGAGCGGGGACGGGGGGCGCCCTGCGGCCGCGAGGGGCGAGGCCGGACCCCGCGCGGGAGTGATGCCGGAGGGTTCCCCCAGTCTTCCGGGCCGGCGGTGTCCGCTCATCTCGGGCCGCCCGTGCACGCATCCTCCGGCCCCGCGCACCCTCGGGGCCCTGTGCGGCAGCAACAGTTGAGGCTCTCCGCTGTCGTGTCCGTGGGGCCTCCCGGACCCGGGGGCCGCAGGAGGAGCCCGGGACCGGGGCCGGATGTCGCCCCCCCGCGTGGGATCGGTCCCCGAGCCCTAGTACCCGCCGAATATAAATAGGTTCTCAGCCCATATGTGGGTCGGAGCCGCCTGTCTTCCGTGGGCTAGAGAAAAAGCAACTTAGTGGGGTTGGGGCCGGGGAGCTGGTGTGTGTCCCTCCCGGGCTGGCAGAAGGGGCAAGATGGCATCGACCGTGCTGGGGCTTTGGGACCGCTGCCAGCCTGTCACAGACTTCCCGTGTGGGGTCACCCATGAGCCCCTCGAGGGGCCCGGCTGCTGTGGGCAGGGGGTGGGTGCGCTGCCCGACAGAGCCGTTTATTTTTAGCGGATGGGGGAGGGGAGCGAGCTGCTGCTCGCAAGCTGGTATGGCTTTTCTCTTCCCTTCCCAAATATCCTGCAGGCCCGATTCTGCTGTTCCTCACCGCAGCTGCCTGCACTAGACCCCGTGTCCCGGTAGCCGGAGCAGCAGAGGTCCCTGTGACAGGAGCAGGGCCGAGCCTGACGCTGCAGGCAGGTTTCCCTGCGCTGACAGCCCTGGTGTCCCCAAAATAGATGAGGGGGTTGATGCTCTTTGGCTGAGTCATCTGCCCTCTTTACCCTGAGCAGAGCTGCATGGCCACGGCGGGGACCACGCCAGACCCTTGCTCGCAAGGATAAGCAGCCTGGCACAGCTGCTGGCAGCCAGGCACTGCTGGGCCCTGACACACACCGGCTGACCTGGCCCTGGCTGCTATGGCCATTGGGTTACAGAGTAGGGGTGCACACAGCTTTTGGGGACCCATTTCTCTGTGACCCTCCCTACCAGCCCTGTGGGCAGCATGGGAGTGCAGCTCAGGAAGCTGTGACCAGAAGAGGAGGAGGATGAGGAGCCCAGGCCCCTTCCACCTGCACGTGTATGCGCTGTTGCTGGAGTGCCAGTGCTGCAGGCAGGGTATGGAGCAGCCCCTCCTTGCCCACCCAGTGATGCCGTGAGTGCATGGGGTGTGCAGGGGACCAGCTGTGTGCCAGGATGAGAGCTGGTCCCAGTGCCGTGGGTGCTCATGGATGTATTTGATGTAGTCCCTAGGACAGCTGTGCCCTGAGAATGTGTATGTCACCTCCTTCCTTGTGCTACTGCTGTGTGTGAATCCCAGAATTACTTGGTGTCCCTGGTCTGCACAGGGTCCATCATCCTACCCACTCCCTGGGGAGCTCTGCCCTCTCTGAGCATTGCTGAGCTGCCGTGCTGGTTGGCCTGGGCAGAGCCACAGCGACTGCACCTGGCATTCAGCAGTGGGTTCCCCAGTGCAGTTCTGCCCTGGCAGCAGCTGCAGAGGGATGTTTCACTGTGAGAAACCAGCTCCCATTGGGATGATCTTACTGCAGCAGCCAGAGGCCGGGGGACTGGAGCAGGGAAGATGGAATGCACTACGCGCCCATTCTCCTGCTGGGTGTTCACCCCGGGGCAGGTAGAGTTGGGGTTTGCTGGACTTCTCCCAGCCTCAGAGAGGGAGTGTGGGTACCAGCAGCTGCCTTTTTGCACAGCCTAGTGTTGCAGGTGCTCCCTTGGAGTCAGTCTTTGCCACCATGTGCTCTGCTCCCGGCAATAGATGGAACAGCAAACCCAGTGCTGCAATGTGGGGTGGGAAGCAGAAACCCCAGGTTTGACTGAGGGCTCTGGGCTGAGACTTGAGAACTGGAGCAGTTTTGTGTTCTGCCTATGAATGTTGGTGGCCTGGGGGCATCCTCACTGTCCCTGGCAGCAGGGGCTGTTCAGGAGGAGGATTGCATTAGGGTACAGCCAAGGTTTTGGGATAGACTTTATTCACAGGCACTTGGTGAAAGCTTGGCCATTAGGGTTGTCCAGGCCACTTATGGGTGGATGGTGGGTGCAGAGAGACCTGCGGCATAGCCAAGGGGATGGCCAGGCACTGTCCCTGGCCAGTGGCACCTCTGTAAGGCCTTTTTCCCAGCCCATGGTGGCTTTGAACCTTATCTAGTGTGGCTGAGCTGGTCCGGGGGCTGCTCTGGGGTTTGGCTCTTCGGTTTATTCTTCC